CTCAGGCCCAGGAGGCTGAAAAAGGCGGGAAGGCTCGTCCGCGGGATTATCCTCTGACATCACCCATCGTACTGAGGCTGACACTCCTGACGCCAGGCAGTTGGCCCCCCACTGCCTGCGCACGTGGTTCACCCCCTTGGCCGACGACCTCCCCTTGCTCATCATCAGTGCCACCGACATCGCATCGACGATGAAGAAGAGACGGCGACCATGATTGTGCAGCCGACGGAGTTGATGTTTCAGCGCCCAGGACGCTCCGCGCCTCAAGCATGGGCATGGATTCGCAGCGCCGCCAGCGGGCGGCGCTGACCGTGCGCCAGGGGCCCTTCATCAGCTCGGCGGGCACCTCGTCGAAGTCAGACTCGGACGACAGCCCCTCGACCTGCGACTCCTGGGTTATATCCGTCAGGTGTTCTCCCTCGGGACGGCAGCGAGCGCGGAGCCGAGCCTGTGCGCTGAGCTCACCGTGCTTGCTGAAGCGCCACCTCTCGTTCACGCGCCCGGCGCGCCGAACTAGCGCCTCGGCCCTCTCGCCCTCGACCGCGCCGCGGCCCCAAGGCGAGGCGCCCGACGCCATCACCGCCGCACCCCGCTCCGCGGCCAGGTCGCGCCGCACCAGCGGTAGCAGGCTCACAGCCCACCACAGCTCCCGGCGCGCCGCTGGCCAGAGCGCCGCGCGATCGTCACGATGAGCATGGATAAAGCCGTACACCGCCCCGAAGCAGGACATCATCTCCCTCCGCATCAAAGCAGCGAAGGTGAAGTGCCCCACCGCGACTTCGACCTGCCAGCCGTAGACACGGGGTCGTTGAAGCAGTTCTTGAACTCCGAGTCGTAGGCACCAAACTCTGACGGGGTTGAGCGCGACGATCGCCTCCTCCTCGTCAAAGTGACAACCCAAGCAAACGCCTCCCACGCTGGCCTCCACGCCATGCGTCGGCAGCCCCACCGCCTTCATGCCTGCGTCCACGGCGACCGCGGCAGCCTCCGCCTTCGCAAAGTCCTGCGAGAACGCCGCAAAGTTGTCGACGTACTGCGTGTGGCTGACCGGCGCAAGTGGCGGCGGCGGTCGGCCGTCGGCCATCCGCTGCGAGTCGGGCAGCCCCGGCACCTGTCGCACGATCTCCTCGCGCACGCTCTGGCACACGCCCAGCGCCAACGACCAGCCCATCGGCACCGCCGCGAAGCGCTACCGGAACGGCCGAGTCCACCTCGATGGAGCCCATGGTCGCGCCAGTGGCCAGGTTCATGTCGTCGGGCTCGTCGAAGTGCGCGTTGGACAGTCGGCAGTCTATGATGAGCCGAACCTTGCCACTTTTCTTCCATACAGAGAAGATGCCGACCCGCTCAGTGCAGGTCCGCTTGAACTCGATGAGCCCCCTGCTGGCGAGGTGCCTCACCAGGCGCGCGTAGTGCCGTCGGTCTCGCAGCAGAGGGTCGCTGTAACAACGTTTCACGCCACGCTCCTCACGTTTCCTCCCTGCCTCCTCTTTGGGCAGGATCTTGCTCTTCAGCCCCTCGGCGATGCGCGCGCCAACATCTCCTGCAACCTCCTCAAGGCCGCGCGGCCTGTGGCCCTCCGGAGGCACGGAGAGGAGGTCAAGCTCGAGGGGCGCGAGGGTGGCGGGCCCCCCGCCATACCCTCGTTTGGCGAGGAGCTCACTCAGGGCCCCCTCGCCGCTCATGCCATCAGGAGGAGGTCCCACAGCCCGCGCGGCGGAGCGCAGGCGCTCAAGACAGCGCGCCTGGCCCGCCGAGGGAACCTCTGGCCCAGCGCCCGATGGCACAGGACCGCCCGCCATCTCGTTCAGCGTGTCGATCATGCAGTTCGCCCAGTAGTCTTCGTGACCCCGTCGTTCTGCACGTCGCCGCACTGCTCGACAAGGTCGGGCTCCAGCATGTGAAGCAAAACTCAGTGCACCGGCGGTCCCCTCACGAAGCCGAGGGAGCGGCAGCAAGTCGCGCTGCCGACCATCACGTGGGACCCGCCAATCATCAGTGGGCTGTCCTCCAGAACTGCCAGCGCCCCAGCCCACTCCAGGCACTGCCCCCCTCCTTCCCTCCACGGCGGCCCAGGGGGCAGACCGCCGCGGGAGGTCCTCAGGCATCGGCCCTGCGCGCGAGGATCCCCTCCCCGCGCGCCTCTCGCGCCTGCTTCATGACCTGAGCATCCCCCTCCACCTCCTTCGCCGCGTAGTCGAAGAGCCGTGGGTCCAGAAGCAGGTCCCCGAACTCCTTGTGCGCTCCCAGGAAGACCGACGCCTCGTCGTAGATCCCCGCGGAACGGCGGCCCTTGTTCTTCTTGGCGTTGCCACCGCCCTCGCTGTTGTCGGTGACTCCGAGGCCAGCTGGGCCTGTCTCCGAGCACGAGTACTGTATCATCTGAGCTGTGGGGATCATCACCTCGGCCCAGGCGAGGGTGGTGTTGTCCACGCCGTGGTACGCCACCAGCAGCTCCAGCACCCGCATGATGAGCTCGTGCACCTGCACTTCCCCATGTCATTGTAGAGCCGCGAGTCGTTCACCCTCCATATGTGATGCTCGCGGGGCCCCATCTTGTTGTTCAAAAACTCGGCCGCCCACTTCTTCGTGCGTGGGCCTGGCACGGGGAAGTCCGGGAAGGTCTCCTCTTTCAGCCTCTCCACGCCGTAACGCCAGAGCCACCTGCGGCGGCCGCCCGCCGAGCAGGTCACTTCCAGCGGCCTCGTGCCCGCGGCGGCCTCCTTCCTCTTGCACTCGTCCGTGCCAGTCACCGCCTCCAAGGCCAGACAGGTCCAGGCGTCTCCGCCGACGGGGTACCCCATCAGCGCGCACTCCCCCTGGACGATCCCACTGCCGCTCAGCGACTCCACGTCTCCGCGCGACAGTCCAGCGTGCATCTCTACGCTGGCCCAGTGGTGAGTCGCCGCCGCCGCTCCTGCCCCCGCCGTCAGCGCGCCCGCGTCTCCAGCGGCCCCTCCAGCCGCCAGCGTCGCCGCCGCCGGCACCAGGGCCGTCGCCATCAGAGCACCAGCCCCACCGGGCGCAGCTCCGCCTGCTGCCGTTGCTCCGGCGTCTCCTGCGGGCGGCATCGGCAGCCGCGCTCGGCCAAGGGGAAGAGAGGATGAGCGGCCGCGGAGGGGGGGCAACAAAAAGAGAGGAAAGACGCACCCACGCGGCGGAGCCGCAGCGGGGCGCGCGGGGCGGCCGAGCTGGTGCAGCAACCCCTGGCAACGGGCGCGGGGAGGCATCACGAACGCACCCAAGGGTGGGTCCAGCGGCTGCAATGCGGGTCGAGGCCCAGCAAGTCGGAAGGAGGGAGGCCAGAGCTGCAGAGACCACGGCAGTCCCAATCGCCAGAGTGGGAGCCGGTGCGGCAGCTGGGGGGGCTGAGCAAGTAAGCTGCAGGGGCGGACCTGGAGCCGGGGTGGCTCGGGCTGTCGACGCAGCAGTAGCGAAGGCGCTGCGCGTTCGCAGCGCAGGGCAGGCTGGGGACCAGGAGGAAGAAAAGAAGGCAAGAGGACACACACTTTTTGCGTCGGCGGCCAGGCAGAGGGTGACTGCACTGGCGATGAGAGGCGTGAGGCACATAGGCGCGATGAGATGCGCAGCAGGATGCCCACGTTCTGGCCGCTAAAAAAAGTTACAGAGAAATCAATGAGACCGTCGCTGGGGAAGGCAGCGGGATCCAGTGTAGACAGGCAGCGGCCCGGAAGGGCCACTGAGCCCAATCTGGCTAACCTTAAGGGGCCGCGAAAGACGTGCATTCGGCACAGCCGATCGCAGGCCAATATTACCAGCCCTGGCGCAAGGCTCGAAATCGAACCCGTCCCGAGGCGGAAGCGAGGGGAGAAGGGGGCGGAGCAAAAACAGCCCCCAGAGCCCCCCAGAGGGCCCCAAGAGGGCCGAAAGGCCTCCAGAATGGCCCCAAGAGGGCAGAGGGCCCCAAGATGGCCCAAGTGAGCTGCCAAGAGGCTCCCCATTCGACAGATCCACAGAGGCACGGAGGCATTCATGGTTGACTCCAAGGCCTGCTCGGGCTGATCCTGATACTCGGATTGACGGTTGCCCCCGCTCAACTCGCCGCCTGGGCACTGTTTCGGGATCGTCTGGTGTGGGTAAGCGAAGTCCGAAGTTTCCACCGGCCCTCGGCCATTCGTACACGGCCGCTCGTCTGTGGCCGCGCGGGGGGCAGCAAGAACACTTGGACTTCTTGGAACGCATCATTCCATTACGCCTCGCTCCACTGACCCTGGGTGCACCGCATGCCACCTGGAGGTGTCGCATGCTCGGGGGCCCTCGAGGGGTAAGGCGAGGCAGATGTGTGGGTGGACCGGGCGGGGGGAGGGGGAGGGGGGGACGGTAATGTCATGAAGGGACGAGGAGGAGGAAGGGGGAAGGAGAAGGGGATTCAACGTGTGAAGAATTGTATAATATTACCTTGTCCGCTATCGGGGACGCCTATCCAAGGCCCGCTGTCCGCTGAGGGAGGGGACACGCAGGTGGGGGGATTCAGGTGTCGGCACTCTTGCAGTCATAGTGAGAGCATTGGGCTTTCTTCGCTACCGCGGCACTTTCTGACGCAACTTTCCACTTGCCTCTCCGTTGATTGTGTGTCATACTGGGGTGGTTCTTGTACGTTGCCGAATTTCCTGGAGGATGAGGTGCTGCCGACCCCGACGACAGTCGGACCTGAGTAAGCCTCTGCTCGTCCTCCCTCTCCTTGGCATGTTTAAGGGATGCGTTTTACTGTGATGGCTTCACTTCAGACCTGTCGGGCTTCAGGTAACGAGCGAGGTGGAGCTTGGGCTCACTGTTGCCTGTCATATCTTCGGCAGCCTTCGGCGGACCCTCGCGGTCTTCAACGATTCTCAACGGTGTCCGGCGGCCTTCCGTGCGAAGCGTTGGACAGCTGCGTTCCACAAGAAGTCCCGTGATCGAACACCGACGGAGACTGCGGATGGAGCGGCAGCTCTGCTGGCGTGACGGGGAAACCCAGACGGGGCGAGCCCAGCACCGGCCGAAATTGACACTATGAACAGCACCGCGGGCGCGAAAGTCATGAACACCGCGATCAGGAGGAGAACCCCCGTGCGCCTCAACGTCCCCTGCTTCACCTCGTCCACGCAAAGATCCGCCCATATGATGTCCTCGGCGGTTCGGCCGGGCCAGACGCTAGCAACCCCTGAGCTGCCCCCCCCCTTCCTCCCCCGATGCTACCTGAGGGCTCCGCAAAGCACTTCCGCTGCCCTCCGCCGACGGTTTCCTCCGGCCGCCTCCTGCGTCGAGGGGTACCAATCAGACGGGGACCCTGGTCGATGCTGGAACGAGGGCGTTTTCTCGCCCCTTTCCCTCGCCATCCAGTATGGAAGTGGCGCGTTGCTGCCACTCTCCAGCCACCTCCAGTGCGCCGCCGAAGTACCCGTCACTTGGAACGCACCCGCCCTGGTGGCGCTAAGCCTCCCCCGTCTTGCGTCCAGCGGCTTCTGCCGACCCCCCCGCCTCCGCAGGAGGGGGACGTCGGGACGTCCGCCTCACGTAAATTCAACGGAGCGAGTGCCCTGTGGTTGCTGGCAAGCAGCCCGGGGGCCCGGGGATCTCAAATCATCCAAGCCAGAGTTAGGCAGCACCCTGACTCATGAAAGCTGTATTCTCCCTCCCCCCCGGACGAAGAGCTCAGGAGGAGGCGGGAACCCCGCGCCTGGACGTCCAGCGACCCCTCGAAACCTCCAACGTCCTCCAACACCGCCTCGAAGCGCAAAGGCCTCTGCTGTCTGATGAGTCCCGAGAGCGTTCCGAACGCTCTCGGTCGCAGGCCCCCCCTCCGCTCGCGGGGATACCTACCTCTGGGGAAGGAGGGAGGGAGCAGGGAGGGACGGCTGGGGAGCGAGGAGGAGGAGCGATTGGATTTGGATTGCGCTCTGGTTCGCCGAGGAGACGGTTAGCTTAGCGCGGCGCTCGCTAGCTGCTGGCAGAAACACGCGGTATCTAGCAGCACGGGCAGCACTCGCGTCGGACACGGCGCGCGCATCGAGAGACAAAGTCAGGAGCCCATCCCTCGTCTGTGCCAGACAAGGATCCCAGGAGACAAGCAAGCGCAGTAGTCATCACGTACTCTACCATACTCCCGCATGTCATCCGGAACCACGGGCTCAATACTGCCCGCGCCCCCTTCCCACATGGCACGCGCTGCGTCGGCGGTGGGCGCAGCGATGCATTTGCACAGGCCGGCGGGATACGTATTCTTTCTGGTTGTGCGCCACCCCCTCCTATCCCTATCATGCCCAAGAAGCGTTTCGCGTCCGCCCCTGCGGTGCGAACATCTGCCGTTTCCACGGGTTGCAAGCAGGGCGGCGCGCAGCACTGGCAGTCTAAGCGCTGCGATCCTAGCGGGGGCCCTTGACGTCTGACCAGGTTCACACTGATCAAAATCGGACGTCGAGACTGCTGGGGACGACTGAAGAGCACGCATCGGGCGGCAGGTTAACAAGCTGACGGCTTGGAGCCTCCATCCACACGGCTGGGGGTGATCGAGCCAACATGACGTCCCAGCCCGCGCATGCGCAGCCACGAGCTCCAGCATAGCATGGTGTAGCGCACTGCCCGCCCACAGCTGCTCCATCTGACGCTCAGTAACTGCCGTCTGGCCCCAAACTTGGTCATGCGCCCAAAGTGGCAGGGGGCCTTGGCCCTCTGCCCATCGAGAGGCAGACCAAGTCCCAGGGCGGCCCGCCACCCGACGCCAACGCCCGTCGTGCAAGGATGTAAGACCTCCATTCTGCGAGTGCGTCCCGATTCATGAGATCCCCGCCCGCTGCATGCATGGCGATATCCACAGACAGGACATGCATAGCATAGTCTGTGCTGCAATGCGCCCATTCAACCTGTGCCTGTACATCCCCCGCCCTCCTCCGTCCACAAAACAAACTGACGACGCAATATTCAACTAGTCTGTCGGCTCTCGGCCCGAGTGGGCTCGGCTGCAATGCCAGTGTACCGCTCTGTCAGGAATAGTCGACTGGGGTATCTCTCAGTGGCGCACTGAACAGGGTTGGCCGGTGGCCGCGGCACAACAGCGGCATTCACAGGCGTCGGGGCTTGCAGGCAAGCAGCAAGCCCAGCTGGGAGAGCGGGGTCAGCGGCCGCAGCCCCCAAGCGTGCAGTGCCATGCTCCATCGTAGCAATCACTGAATACGCATGCTCTGTGATGGGGCCAGCTGCATGAACTGTCGGCACAAAAAAAACATGACGGCGAAACAACGGCACGACTGGGATCCTGCCTGTCATGGGGGCTGAGAACTCGGGATGCGTGATCTGATAACACGGCGCAGCTCCTGACATAGTAACACATGGCACAGCAACTGCCGTGGTAGGATCACTCATCAATATAGATAAACACCGTGGGGAATCATGTGCCAGATTGTCTACCAGGTGTGCCAATACAAGTAAGCATGCGTGCCAGTGTCCGTCTGGCGACGCCCATGCACGTGCCAAAGCTGCGTTCTGACGGCGGGTACGCGCCACATGCACACGTAATGCCCCATGCTTTCGGAAAGCGTGCGCACGCCATGGACGCGTGACACTGTCAACGTCTGTGTCGTCTGCTGCACATGTAGGGTCTACAAGCAGTCCGTTCACATCCGTCCAAACACGTTCTGGCACTCCCAGAGGGCGGACGTCCGGAAAAAAAATGGCCTCCACAGTGGCCGCGTCAACATTTCGAGCATGAGATTGGGCTGTAGCGTGTAATGTCATCTTGATCATGCGTTTCCACGCTGTTTGATTTCGTAGGACGAGGGAATCCCATTCACTGAAATCCCCAAGCGGCGGCGGGAGGGAAGCACAAGCTACAGCAACAGCACGTCGCCACGAGCAGTCATCCATGACCATTACCAGCCATGACCTGGCGCGGCAACCGTTCGGAGTAGTGTCGCACCACTCGGCGCGTAGTAAGGCAAATGCAAGTTTGGGCCCTATGTGCAATAGTGAACCCAACAGTCGCAAACGCGCAGCTCTTCTTAGCACGTCGGGCGGGGGTCTTCTGAGTCTGGCCAGCACTTGACCATCACTTATGCACAATTCGGCTTCCACAAAACGAACCTTCGCCGCAGCTCGGTAGACTTCCATGACTCCAGCGTCGGCCGCGTTGGCCTCCGTCGCAGCTAGCATAGTCCAGGCGCCCGAGTTGTAGAGACGCCCCGATAACGCCAGACCGTCGGAAGATACCATACATGTCGGATCGGCAACACTTGCAACGTAGCTGCGGTTACTGCTGGCTCGATATTGGACCTCGGGACCCACGTTACCTTGGGAGTCAAAAGCTGAACCAAGATGTACATAGTGCTTGACAATCGGTGCGCGTATAGTCCCAAGCAGCTGTGTCTGCGCAGCCACATGCCCACCGCGCTCGTGCCACGCGTGCAGCTTCGCCTTCTTCGCACCTTTCCTCGGTAAGCCAACAGGGCGGCCGTTTTTGTAACGCCGAGGTTGAGTAGGCGGCCTCTGCCAGCAAACGCATCGGCAACCACGGTAAGCGCACGGCACATGGCAGGATACAGGTCGAAGGCAGGGACAATCGCAATGATAGCGCCGTCGTCCGCAGAGGTGACGTCCAACGGCGGCGCGGTGGTAGCAGTGTCGGCATCCGGTACTATACTCTGCACGCTCTTGCGCTCATCTGTAGGCATATGCAGGGCTCGCCCTGCAGCGTCCAATTGAGCTCGCACAGCGTGCATGCATTCGCCCATAAGCATCTCGCACAATATATCCGCGAAGGGTTGCCCAGGGACAACAAAACGTTCTGGCGAGAAATTCTGGTCGGAACCCTCGCGCAGGGACCAGGGGGTGTGGTAGCATTGTGAAATCTGAGCTGATGTGTGCCCGTGTAGTGAACCGTTCGCCACTTGCTGTTCAACCATAGGTGTCTGCTCACGTATGCGCCGTGCGAGCTCATGCATGGCGCTGGCCGGTAACCCTGCTGCCCTGACAATACAAGCAACGGCGCCATCGTCGAGCGGCGAGCGAAGGAGTAGTTCCCGCAAGGTGCGGTACAATGCCTGCACCACATCCAGGAATAGCGCGCGGACAGAAAGAGCACGGGCAGCCGCAACAGCTTGCGCAAGACGACTAATGATTGACGCATGGCAAGTTCCCCGACATGGTATTCCCCAACACTGTGCATCCCCTGCTGTGGCAAGCAGTGCTGGCATCAACCGAGTCCGCAAATATCTTCGCAATGCCTTCCCAAGCTGTGAGGGCGCCAGAATCGAGCGGGAGCTGGCGCAGGCACTGGGGTCGGCTGTGATGGACTTCACGATAGAAACCCCCCTTCCATTGAATAGGCTCAATAAGGGCAACGGCGGTCTGAAGTTGCAACGGGCAGCACAGGGCAGCAAGCTCAGTAGCGCAAGCGTGCAGCAGAGCTCCCGAGAAACCGTCGCAGCCAGGGGCAGCGCGCTTGGTCCGGCACCAGGCATGCTGAAACCCAGACAGGGTCGGCAGGGTATCACTCGGCACCGGATCGGAGGACATCCGATCGCATGGCACCCGTGCGAAGTGACCCGCAAGCCTATCACGTCTGCATGCTCGAAGCCAGCTGCCAACGCTAGCGTGCCAAAGTGCTGCCGCCAGCGACGGGCTGCCTGAAGCTGCGAAGTTACCGGCTGAGCATGCGTATCCTCGAGGATGGGCAGCCCTTTAAGCATGCGCTTGCGGCGGACCCTGCACCGACGCGGCGCAAGGCCGCGAAAGCCTCCGCTGCCTGTCCCCGGGACCATGCATCCTGAATGCCGGTCGCAATGTCACCGCAGTGCTTGGCAGCGTCCAGCGTGGTAGAATTGTTGATCGCAAACTCCGAACCACGCATGGATGCGAATGTGAAGGCCCGCAAGAGACCCTGCCACCTCCAGAAATGGGGAATAATACCTTGTGATTGAAACAAATCGCGGGGAATGCCTACCAGGGGGCAGTCATTGGGCTGCAGGTGACCTGCGTGGCCCCCAGGAGCTGGTACAAGACACAATCTCCACAAGGCCTCCAGATGTGCGATATGGAAGGGAGGGGCAGACAACCTACCTCTTACATCCTGCAAGTGTTGCGCAAACTCCACTGCAGCCTCGAAAACCTGTGACCCGACATGCGCAAATGCGTCGCATGCATCAATGAGCAACGCACGAGAGGGACCCTCTCGCACTGACCTCCTCCACCTGCGCTGTCGGTTGCCCAGCCACTCCTCCGCCTCCTTCCCATCTGTGGCCAACGCGCAAAAGGCAGCAGCAAGCAGTAGTAAGTTGAGTCGTCTTCGCAACATGCGTAGCTCTCGTCGTCCAGAAGAGCGACGGTCCATGAGTGTCAGCGAACGAACCGAGAACCATGTCCGACGCGGCAAACGTCCCGCGGGTGACTTCTGCGCGGGGGAGCACTCGGTGACCGCCCTGACTAGCTCGTCGTTCAAGTGTTGCGCGTGATCATCAGGGTGCGACTGAAAAGCCGGCCGCGGTATATTTCTGACCACGGTAGCAAACTTGGCCGCGCGGGGCCCGCACTGCTGACATGCACGTCGGCCATAACAGCGAAATGGCCATCAAAACGCATGGACAGATCCACTGTCGGATCAGACCCTTGTCGACTGATCGAATTGAAGGAGGCTTGAGGCACTGTCACGCAGTCAACGGGGCGTCTCGGGTCCTGGGGGGCCGCGCCAGGCGGCGCCCCCGCGCCGTGTATGCCGCGGGAAGGTTCAGAAACAAGTCGCCGCCGCACTCTGTCCCGTAGGTCGTGGGAAATCGCGAAGCAAGTGTCCAGTATCGTTTTCCTGCTTGGCGCCCACGGGGCCCGCGCGGCTGGACTGAACCGCCCCGACAGTGGCGTTTGCGTGCAGTAGACAAAACAGCGGGGCATGACTAGGCCGCGCGAGTACAACATCACGCATGCGTGTCCACCACTGCGCCACCATGTCGAGACCTCCCGTCGCACGTGCACGTGGCGCGCGCGCAACAAGAACATCGATGCGCAGCGATGGGGGCCCGCGCAGCTATAAGCAAATGCCGTGAATCATGCGAGAGTACCCGAAAATGTCGTCTGTTTAGCGCGCAGGCAGGAAGGTACTCCATTCCTGTGTTAAACCACACCGCAACCCCGTAGCATCCATTTCCTTCGGCCGCTGACGCCACCGCGAGCGCGGATCAACTTCGCGCCGAGGGCTGCACCTCAGTCGCGTCTCCAGCGCGCCTACGGAAAGAGATTGGCAACGTGCAGACTGATGCGCAAGGGCCAGCATGCGCCCGGGGATATCAATGCCAACTGCATCCCGGCACGTGCATCGTATCCGCATTTCTTGGGAGCGTGTAAATCGTCTTCGTGGTCGCAGTGAAAGTACGTCAGCAACTGCGAACCTGAACTTACAGAAAGACGATGGCGTGGTATCCTGTGGACTGTCCGGGCCTGGATGCTGACTGTCTCAAAACGCCGATCCAGCAGCGGGCGACGAGAGAGCTCGCAGCGGAGGCACCTCCGCAGGAGCAATCTTGTCGAGGCGGGCTGGGGTCAGCTGTGGGAGCTCCCTCGCGCCGCGGTGGGCGTCGGCTGTCAACTATAACCATGGGGCCGCGTCCATCTGAGAGAGTAGTATAGACCGGGGCACGCCGTCCTGCGGACGATCCGATATATCCTGGACCGACACTGGGCGAGCATGTGCATCTACAAGTTCGTTCAGTGAATTCGCAGTGCGACCTGGAACAAGCAACGACGATGTTATCGCAGTGCGTACTCGCGCGAGCTTTACGAGGGAATCTAACAGGATGGGCAACACACCGCAAGACCTGTACATCGCACCTCCTGCAGCAGCTTCCACCGCCATCACGTTATCCGAACGAACAAGACTGCGCCTCGAGCGATAAATCGGAGGCGCCTGAAGGAGCCAACGACATGAAACAAGTCGGAACTCAACGGGCTCCCATACTCCTCTTTAAGTGAGGGGACGGATCCGGCCATGTAACCACCCATCCGACGCTTGCGTCCTGCGTCACGCCGCGCACAGCAAACGCCCATGATGGTGGCCCCATTTATGTCCGCGCTGTCTGACCCTCCCGATCCGACTGTGCACGCTACAAAATGATCAATGTCATCGTCGCGAACACCATTACAGCAGGCATGCTGCGCCCGGAAATCAGCGGCACTAGAAGGGGAACAATGGCGAAAGAGGCATACCACAGGATGTTGCGTGGATGGCGGCGCCGCGAAAATGGGAGAGAGCACTGCGCCTCGCCACTGGGCCGCGAGCAATGCTGCTAAATTGCCGCAGTCGGGAACTGGGCCGACGGGCGGCGCATTCAAAAAGATCGACGTGGCTGGGCGCCCCGGCAGAGCCGCGGCGCTCGGAGCCCACGCGGGCTGATCCCCACTGGCGCCTCGAAGGCTCCGCAGGCTGGCTCGCCCCTTGCGCGACGGGCTCGCCTGCGCCACGTCGACGTCGTCTTCCGAACCCTGGCCGGCGCGAACCTCCCCCGCGTTCCCGCGGCGCGGGCTGCGGCCGCGGCTTCCGGCCCCTGCTGGCCCATCTCCCCCCGCGGGTCCGGGTCGCTCCTCGCCCAGCACCGCGCGTGGCAGCGCGCCTCCTGGTAGCGCCGCTGAGCCCGGCGCTGCGATGACTATCTCGAGGGCCTGCAGGGCCGCCTGCTCGCCCGCTGCTGCCTTCGCGCGAGCCTCGGCAGCAGCGCGAGCACGCGCCTGGCGAGCCGCCTTGCTCGCCCCACGCAGCCCGACTGGCGGCAGCTGTGGCGTTGGCCTCCTGCTGCGCGTTATCATCCCTGTCTGCGCCCGCTGCGTCAATCGCTGTCTGCGCCCGGGGCGGGCCGCCGCCATAGCAGGACATGCCGCGGCAGGGGGCGGCGCGGCAGCGGCCTGCGGCACTGCAGCGACGTGCTGCGTGGGCTGCGCAGTCGGGGCAGGATTGGCATCAGCAGCTGGCTGCGCGGCCGGATTCGTCGCAGCAGTAACTAGTCGCCGCCGTGCTCGCTGCTGCCGCTATCTGCGCCAATGCCGACTCTAGTCCGCCCAGCGCCGCGGCCGGCCCCGCGATCGGCCGCGCCGCGCCCGCCCGGCCCTGCTGGAGCTCGGCGACGGCTGCGACCGAGGCGCCAGACATCTGGATAGGCGCCGCCGCCGTGGGCGCGGTGGGCGCCACGTCCTCCGCCACAGGCGTTGCGGCGCCCTGCGTCTCGACGTCATTAGCGGCAGCTGGCAGCGGGAAGAGGACCTCGAGCTGCTGAAGCAAGACCTGTACACGGGTCCCACGGGTCAGCTCGCTGGCACGATGCTGCCGGACCAGCTGGCGAGCCCCGTGCTCAATCATGGCCTCGTGCGCCGCCTTCTCTGCAGGATCGGAGCGGCGTTGGGCGCGCCCGACGAACGCCAGCTGCCTTGCAAGGCGCACCTCCGGGGTCCTGGCCACGACGGTCATTGTCATCAGGACGGAGCATTCCTTCTCCTGCGCCTCCAGGATGCTGGTCGGCAGGCCGAACTCGCGGGGAGCGCGACCACTGCCATGCGGCGGAGGTTGCGCCTGTGGTTGCCCGAAGCAGCAGGATCCGTCGGTGGCTGCATCCAGGCCGGGTGCGCACGCGCCTGCTCTGCCATTGCAGGGGGCGCACCAAGCGCCTCCAGCGGTCTGGTGGGACGATCTGCCGTCTCCTCAGTCGACTCGGCCTCGCTCTCATCGAACGCGACGTCAGTAGCTGGCGAGCGACGGCGGGATGACTGGCGTCGGGGGGGCACCTCTGGGGCTGATCCCTCCGCAGGCTCGCCATCTCGCTGCTGAGGGTGGGGCGGCGGCGGAGCACGGCTCGGGCTGCGCTGACGGCTGGGCGAACGCTGCTGTGCGCCGGCCTTGAGGTACGCCTCCGCCGCCGCTGGTCGCGTCCACTCCCCCCGTGCTGATCTCGCCCGCTGCCCGCTGCTGCATGCTGCTGCTGCTGCTGCTGCTGCTGCGACCCGCTGCCTGCATGCTGCTGCTGGTGCTACGGCTGGTCGCGGAACACGCTGGACGCCGCGGGACTCTGCTGCGGGAGCGGGTAGCAGGTCCTGCACATCAGGTCGCTGGCGGCATTGGCGTGCCCGCATGCTGGACACCACCACGGCGGGGGCGGCGGGGACGGCGGGGACTGACCGCCCTTTCCGCCGCTTTTGCCTCTGGCCTGCCACGCCATGGCTCTGTGCGTTGCGGGTCACTTCGCGGCACTCACAAGACGCAGCGACCATCGGGCCTGTGCACGTTGTTGTCGGGCACGTTTGTGCCAAGCCGGCTCGCTGCCGCCTCCGCTGGGGTGCTGGCGCGGCGTGCCGCCAGCAGGAAGGCGCCGCCGCGAGCAGCGCGAGAGGCACGCCAGGAGCAGGCCCGCCGCGGGCAGCGCGAGCGGCGGAGCGGCGGGGCCCGCACGCCCGAGGCGCGGGCGCGGGCCGGCGCGCGTGGCTGCCCGCCCAGAGAGAGGTTAGCCGTACCTGGTACGGCGCCCGAAACCTCTCGAACCGGGGCGGCAACTGACGAGGAGGGAGAGAGGGAGGAGGGAGTGAGCAGGGACTTGGCAGCAGAGAGGCGAGGGGGCATGAGGGTCCTCGACGGAACCCTTGGGCATTGACGCAACGATCTCCTCGTTGTCATCCTCCGAGAACAGCTTCAGGCAGATCACCGCGTCGCGCCGCGTTGCAAAGCGAACGAACGCGACCGTGCTGTTCGTTTGGTTCGTTTGGTCCCTCTCAGGGGGACGCCACCTAGACGGCGACACCAATCTTGGCCAGGCCAATCCTTGGCTCAGGGTTGGCCCAGTAAGGTGGGGGTCGGCGTACGTGGTCGGCGTTCCCGGGCCTGTTGATATCGGCGCGCATGTTGGCAGCTTCAACCTCCATCCTCGCAATGTCATCCAGGAGTTCCTTCTTCGATCTGGGTGTGTGCAAGTGTATTTGGAGCGATGGGTTCACGCCACGTTGCCATCGCCGGCGCGTGTTGTGCTGTTCACGCACAGTGTCCACCACGCAGTACTGCTTGCCAAACGCTGATGAGAAAACAACGCGCACGCGCAAGTGACTCAAGAAAAAAAATCAACCGAGGGTGAAACAAGGAGAGGGGTATGTGCCCTAGGGTCGCTGAGTAGTGTAACTCGGTCATGGGTGCAAAGGTCCACTGCGCGCGGTGCAAAGGTCCACTGCGCGCGTAGGCGTCACTCGCAGGAGAAACACCAAGACCACAAGCATGAAGTCTCGGAAACACGCGTTGATTCAGTGGGTCGGCGCTGGGCTTCCCCCCCTTGCGCCCCAAACCGGCCCCAATAAATCCGCGCGGATGTCGGACCAATTCTATCTGCGCCTTCCTGTGGTCTACGACTTAGCGCTACTATCCCCTGACGCGTTGCATGCCCTACGGTCAGGAATTGTTGCTCAGCATGTCGCGGCGGCGGCCCCGGCGACACGTTATGCTTTGCGAGTGGATGGAATGCCGCTCCGCTTTGCGGGAAGGGAGGCTGGGAAAAGGCTCGGGACGTTGACGCCTTGTGACTGGGACTTCGTTGTTTAGCGTGTCGCGCCACAGCATGGCGGGCCAGAGCCAGCGGAACGACACGGTAAGCCAAAGTTCCTGACCGCACGTACGAGCAACGCACCTCGCACTTCGAACTTTCGAGAAGCCAAAGTGCGTGATTGCACGTGCCCCGGGAGCGGGGGGAACATGATGAACGAAAACTCGTTGTTTACATTGGTCCCAATGCAAGTACAGGGGGGGGGCCTGGGCTGGACCTGACTGGCCTAAGAAGAGGCGAGAGAGGAATACAGGAGAAGGCGAGGGAGGGCCAGCACGCTGCAGCGAACCTGGATCACGACGGCAGGGGGCAACCCAACTTTCTTGGTGATCCACCACCGTGCCTTCATGGAGTGGGAGTGATAAGGTTCGTCGGTAGGCTTGTAAGTCTTCGTTTCCAAAGCGTCCTGTCGTGTTGGGTCCTCGTTTTGAAGAAACAGCGCCCCGCGTCCCACCTCTCCTCCCCTCCTCCCCTCTCCTCCTCCCCAGCCTCCCTCCTCTCACCTTTGCCTCTACCCTTTCGCATGCGCATGTCGGCACACCCTCACACGGCCCGTGGACCTATGGGCCCATCGGGAATAGGGAGGTCCACCGAACGCTCCAGTGGCAGCGTCCACATGCGCCCACCCCGCCCACCGCATGCCAGTTTCGGCACACCGCTCACACGGTTCGTGGCCCCATAGGAACCCGTCGAAGGCCCCGAAGGCAGAGTCCACATGCACCCGCCCCGCCCGCCGCACACCCCTTGCACGGTTCGTGGCCCCGTAGAGAGCTTCACCGAAGGCCCCAAAGGCAAAGTCACACATGCGCCCACCCCGCCCACCGCTTGTCAATTTCGGCACGCCACTCACACGGCTCGTACCCCCATAGGGAGATCCACCGAAAGCCCCAGAGGCAAAGGCCACATGCGCCAACCCCGCCCGCCGCATGGCCATGTCGGCACACCTCTCACACGGCTCGTGAACTCATAGGGAGCTCGACCGAAGGCACCAGCGGCAGAGTCCACGCGCGCCCACCCAGCCCACAGCATGTCAATTTCGGCACGCCCCTCACACGGCCCGCGGCCCCATTGGAAGCTGCACCGAGGGCCCCAGAGGCAAAGTGCAAAGTCCACGCGCGCCCGCGCCACCCACCGCATGTGAATTTCGGCACGCCCCTTCACGCGGTTCGCGGCCCTCACGAGGTTCATAATATAGGGGTTTGCACCGAAGACCCCAAAGGCAAAATCCACGCGCGCCCACCCCGCCCACCGCGTGTCCATCTCGGTGCAGTCCTCACACGGCCCGCCATCTGCAGCCGGACCTTCTCTCGGTCTCGTGGGCTCTCGTCCTGGAACTGCTCCCTCGGCCGACGCGGCCCAGGCGCGATCCGGGCCGCGGCCGCCACTTGGTCGTGAACGGCAAGAAGGAGGACGACGACCGGTGGCTGGAGCTCCACGCGCTCCTCTTGCGCGCCACGCGCCACGAGGGCCTCCTGCTCAAGAGGGCGCCGCGCGTCGAGTCCTTCCCAGCGAGGCCGCCTGAGGGCATGCGGAAGCAGCTGGAGCAGCTTGCGGCGCGCGCGACGCGGCGCGGAAGGGAGGCGACGGCCCTCGCCAGGGAGCTAGGCTTCACAGAGTTCATCCGCGAGGCCTGACCTGGGGAAATGGCCCGCCCGAGAAGCGCCTTCACTCGATTCTCCAACCGTTCGGCCTCGCGCCGGGGTCGACGCGCGCGCGCCGCTGGAATCCGCCCGGGGCGACGGCCGCGCGTCGCGGGACCTCTGCGCCGCGTTCTGTGCGCCGCGCTCTGCCCGGCGCCTCGCTCGCCCGTCGTCGCTCTGCCCAGCGGCCGGACTCTTGCCCGCTATCGGCCAGCCAGCTAGCTCTCTGTGTTTCGCGCAACGAACGACCCGCGGGCGTCGCCGGGACCCTTGCGAGACGACGGGCGCGAGTCGCGGGGGCTCCGCGCTGCGCTGAGCCCGCAGCCCTAGATTTTGGAGTGCGCGGGCAAACAGGGATGAAACAAAAGCAAGGGCAATCGCGGGCGGTCCAGCTTTCCTCGCACCCCCCCATCGAACAGGTCGCGGACAGAGGAAGCGCCGCCGAAGACCCCATGGGAAGTTCCACCGAAGGCCCCAGCAGCAGCGCCCGCCCGCCGCCGCCATCCCACTTTGGCACACCCCTCGCGCGCATCGTGCCCCCGCGCGGAGCTCCGCCGAAAATGGCACTCACAACTGCGGCACTCGCAGCGTCATTTGGTGGGGCCCATCGACGGGCTACTTGCGCCGTCTACGCCGACCCCCCCCCTCCTCCAGGCACAGACCCACCTTAAAATGCCCCCTTCCCCCCTGGATTTGCCACCCGGCGTTTGCGTCGGCCTCGAGGCGACCGAGATGGCCTCCAAGACGGCTTCAAGACTCTGCCAAGATGGCAACAAGACGGCCCGACATGGCCCACGAATACATGAGAAACTCCCCATCGGCCTCGACACGACGGCGCGAAAAGCTCCCCAGACGGCCCAAGAGGGCTCCAAAATGCCCGCCAAGAAAACCCGAGGACGCGAAAATCAATGATTGTCGGCAGGTGCTTCAAATATCGTCGGGGTTCTCACCCGCCCGGGTATCCGACCGCCAAAGACGACCCGAGAGGCCTCCAACATAACCCCAAGACAATCCATGAGGCCCCAAAACAAAACCCCAAGAGGGCCCAAGAGGACCCAAAGTTCGCCGAACAAGACGGCCCCAGAGGTCGCCAGACAGCCCACGGGCTCCCTGAGACGACCCAAGAGGCATCAATAATCTGAAACCAAGTGGGGCTCTGGGAGCCCTGTCCCTGTCGACTTGTAGACGCCAAAATTGACGCAGTCAACAGGAACAGTACACGCGTTGAGAGCACCTCTCTTGCTCTCTCGCACACGGTCCGCGCTGCCCGCTCCAGCGCGACCACCCTGTCTCGCAGGCCATCTACGCATAAGATGCGCGCCCACCCGCCCTCGTGAGCCCAAGCGGCTGTCTGACGGGAAGGCTCCTGCGCCAATATAACCCACCCCTGATCTCCTCAATCAGACAGGATGAAAAAATGCGGCGCAGCGCGGCTAGGCCTCATGGCGCTTCTGGACGCTGCTTCGGCTGGCGCGCGACGCCAACTCTCCAGGATATTATCGGCCTGCTCGCGATCTCCGTCCGATGTCTCATCGAAGACCCCCTTGCCCGGAGCACTGCGCTTGCGGGCCGAGAAGGGCCTCTCGTTGTGCGGTATATTCCAGCGCTGGCTCTTAAAAACAGCGCGGGGCACGTTGGGGGCCTGTTGGCTGGCCTTGGTCACTCCGTATGCCACCTGGGCGCGGCTGCGTGCCCAGCGCGCCATGGTGCCACCCTCCTCGACGGCTATGCGACTGCTTCGGCTGCTGTCCATCTCTCGTCCAGCCCAAGACCGGTCGACTGAGACTTCACCGCCCTGTCGCAACAAACATCTGCAGTCAGTAATCCGGAAATCTTGGCGAACAGCACCTCGCAAAGTACGAGGCGCACCATCGCCCGTTCGCCCTCGGCGCCGCTGGCCCCCTGGATCTCCGCGGGCAAGCTGGAGAGGGCGACCTTCTTGAGCTTGCGTGGACCCAGGGTCGAGCACGGTGAAGTCACAGGGATCATGGAAAGGCCCCTGGGCAGAGATCAACGCTGCGACGCGGCCACCCTGGGGGCGCCCGCCAGGGCGGCTCGCCCAGGCAGCGTCGCACCAAGTATAAACACGAAAATCGGGTGGCACGTCTGGACAGCCAGGTAGATCACGTCGGAAGGTTTGAATACCGTCTGTCCGAGTGACCTTGGCCATCTTGGCGATGCCATGCGCGACCCCGACGGAGCGGCGGCCCCCATCGGGCACCTTGTTCTGCGCGTCCGCAACCCAGGTCGACACCCGCGGCGATGCGTTGACTCCCAGCCGAGACAGCTCATCCCACCATGCACGCAAGAATCTCTGATCAGACTCCGACAGCTCGACAGCCAGTCGGACCTTAGGGGAGCGAGGCGCGATCTCCCTGAGCTCGTCAATGCGTTTCCGCTGGCGCTGGAAGAAGCCCTTTGCATTCGGCTCTATCACTGCGCCGCGCTGCGCTGAGGACTCGGCGCCAGCGCCCATGTCCTCCCAGGAACCCCGGGCGTGGAGCCCCCATGCCCTTCGCAGCTGCCCTCGACGCCGAGTGTCCTCGATCGCCACAGAGAATGAAATCACCCCCGCGGCGCAGAACAAGCCCCGGCAGCTTCTTGGTGACCGGGCAGCGGGGGCAACGAAGCACGGCTCAAGTATGCAATATTGATGTCCCGGCTTCGCGAAATCTGTCTCCACGGTCTGCCGCCA